TATGGACTTGACTTTGACGATGTCAACCACCCTGTTGAGGCATTCAAATGTTGTTGCGGAAGCGAGTTTTGCCAGGACAAAAGGAACATCTGAAGTAGGTGCCTCAACCTCTTTTTCTATGGTGCACTTAATAGTTACAGATGCTGATTTCTCAATATTCTCTACCAATTCCTCCATTTTGTTATAGCAGTCGTCTTGGAGAGTCTCAGATTTTAAATAAATTTCCATTGAGGGAATCAAGTGTGTAGTGTTTCCCTACCCTTATTGGCCTACTATATTGCTTTGGTAGATGCTGCGTGATTTAATGATAGATATGCTGAGTGGCATGTCTCGTAATAGCATATCTATGGTTATCTCTCATTATTTTTTTCTGATTTAGTGTTTCTTTATCTATGCACATGGGGGCTAATGATAGATATTCAGATATACGGAGAGTATGTGTAATCAACTTTAGCAGGAGAACTAGCATATGCCCTTTGCTCATTTATATACCCCTCAATATAACAACAGTTCCTTGGTCTTGAACATTTTTGGTGAAAAAAATACATTGGCTATGCCCATATGATGTCTCTATTATGGCTGTACCAATTTAAAGCAACCAAATCATCATGAAAATTCAGTAGATAGACATAGAGGTGATTGAATTTGATCTTCAAACAGATATAGAATTTACCCTCCCCCAACATATTTTTTTAATAATGTCTAGAAACTTCTAAACTTGGTGAATGAAAAATTCCATCTGGTAAAGCAACTGAAATTTTTCAACTGGTAAAGGAAATTGAATGTTTCACCAAAATAGCTTTTTCATCTGATATTTCAAGTGGCGCGATTTACCATTGAAGTTACATCAGCTGACCACAAATGTTGATATTCTCCTACAGCTGACCACAAATATCCAGAGCCCTGGTGTAACTATGAGTACTGGTCAGGAGATAAAGCCACCAAGGAGATTCGAGATAACATATCATCTGCAATGTCGTCTTCATGCTTTGTCACCTACGGATCTGGATTTGCCTGTTTCAGTGTTGTCAGACAGAGCTTGCTTCCAAGCAGTGCATTTTGGTTGCCCGTTCTTAATTTCCTTTTGATTTGGAAAGGTTTCTTGATTCCTTTCCTCAACAAGATATGTACGAAGTTTGAGTATGGATCTTTTTCGGACTTCTAACTTAAAAGAGTCTAGTGCATTTAATTAACAGGCCTCTGTTTGGCCTTTTGCTATCGATTCCTAGTTTCCTGCCCACCCAGAAGCAAAACCGCTAACAATCAAGGGAACGCTCGATTCCCAAGCTGATTCTCCTACAATAGATTCGAAAAATGATATCTAGGGAACGCTCGATGTTGATGTTTTCCCAGTGAACATGCTCATTGCCATTTGATTCTTGGCGCAGATCGCATCGCAAGCCTTGTACCATGTCAACTTTTCATACTCATTCGATGTAGATAGCGTCGTGACGAATGTCCATCCCTTTTCTGCTATCGATTCCCAGCTTACATCCCACCCAGAAGCAAAAGAGCTAAGGCCTTGTACAATGGAAGGTGCTTAGGGGAGGTGCTTAGAGAAATAAACCAGGTTTTTCTTAAGCACCGGTGCTTATTTGTACAGGATAGACGCTTAACTAAGCGTCTCTCTTGTAGAAATAGGCACCGGTGCTTCAGAAAAACTGTGTTTATTTTTCTAAGCATCTCCCATTGTACAAGGCCTAACAAACCTGCTTCCCAAGCTGATTCTCCTAGAATAGATTAACGGAGATGATATCTAGTCCCTTTTCTGCTACTGGTTCCCAGCTTCCATCCCACCTAGAAGCAAAAGCGCTAACAGACCCGCTTCCCAAGCTGATTCTCCTAGAATAGATCAACGGAAATGATAGTGAACATTCGCCGGGAATGTTTTCCTAGAGAACGTGCTGGTTGCCATTCAATTTCTGGTATGAATTGCGGCGAAGCCTAGTACCACGTCAGCTTTTCATAGGGGGAGACTAGTATAGGATCAACACTTTAGATGAGATAGTAGGATCAACCCAAACATTTCATATTTAGACAATCGAAAAAAAATCTGAAAAATGTACAGCATACCTGCTGGGATGCCTACAACTTAAAAAAAATCAGCTCAAAACTCGATCTACAGTTAGAGGTTCGAAAAAGACAAATTTGACTATGAATAGTGTCAGCTTTGGGGTGAATAATATTTGACACTACTCACATCTGATTTTGTCTCCTCTAAGTGTAGTTCGAATTAGGAGCTAAAACTTTTTGACCTTGTGCATTACACATGAATGTGTGTCTCCAAAAAATTTCAGAATTTTTAAACATGTTTTGTATCTTCAAAATTAGATCTCATTGATCTCACCTAAGGGCTGATCCTATACAAGTCTTCCCCACTTTTCATACTCGTCTATAGCAAACCGACAATCGTCCTCCCTTTTTCCTCTTAAACATACAAGGGAGGTGCACAAGGTGGGGGTCTCGAACCCGAACCTCATGCAGGAGTGGCTGCACGCTTACCACTTCGACTGAAGCGGTTTTGTCAACACCTATGCTTAAACAACTTTATGTATTCGTAGATAAATTATTTTTATTCTTTTTCATTAAAAAATCCCTCGATGCTCCATGATGGCCAGTTGGATCATTCACTCCTCCGGCACCCCCAGTGCACGAAAGGGTTCGCGGGGCATTCGACCCCTAGCGTACGAATCTAGGATTGCAATATTGGTCAACCGATCACCCAATATTAGGGTCCTAGATTATATGAAATGAACTACGAGCAGCCAGAGATAGAGGCGATGAACTCGCCGACGTCCAAGCTTTTGCTCGGTTGGCCCTTGTAGGCTTCCGCCTACTTTCGCTTCTCTTAAGTCTACAATAAATGGGAGAGGTGATGCCCCTATCTTCCTACATCACAAAAGAAAACCTTCTACTCTCTTTTTATCCAACTTCTATTCCACATTTCAGACAAACTAGTCTAAGTAGTTCACTGTGTAGTAGCCACAAGCATACAAGCTAGTTTGAAGGGACTCACTTGATACATCCAGATATGAAGAGAATGAGACTGCTCTAGACACGATGTTTAATCCTTTAGCAATTGGAATAAGAAATTATCTGCCGCTTCACATTATTTACAAAGTCATGCCACCATCCAAAGTCCGAACCGTTCTTTCCTCGACTATCCTTGTCTTCCTCCCTCATTTTTCTCATCTTGTTGCAATGAGCCACACCTATGAAGCCCTCACCGATACCCACGGCGCTCAGATTCGAATGCCTCCACCTCTCTGTGACCTTAGTACCTAACACTCATCAAACCTAATATTTCTTTCGTTGTGAATAAGTATGTCGTTTTTTTCATGCACCCACTACAGCATACTGGACTACTACCAAACGCATAATGAGACAATGCTAAGAATACTTTAAATGTTGGTTTGACATTTAGCAAATCATCATCTATCCTTGTTAGTGAATTCTCTCATTCTGATTGGATATGCTGCTTGGACGATGACAATCAACAAGTCGTTTTGCAGTGTTTTTCTTTCCTAATCTAAGCTCATGGTGTGCAAACTGTTTCAAGGTCAAGTATAGAAGCAGAATACAAAGTACCGACAAATGCAACAACATAAATTATTTGGATACAATCCATGCTGAAAAGAACTTAAAATGCAACATGAGCAAGCCCCATGTCTTTGGTGTGACAATCTGGATGCCACATATTTATTTGATGATCTAGTCTTTAATGCAAGGACCAAACACATTGAAATTGGCTTTCATTTCGGAAGAATTTAGAAATCCGGTTTGTGCATTCAAAGGATCAAGTTGCATATGACTTTACAAAGCATTGCCCACAAGAAACTTAAAAAATCCAAGCATAATCAAGTTGACTTTAAAGGACCATTAATAAATAGTACTCCTTTCATCCTATAATGCAATGTAAGACGTTTTTTAACAATAGTGTAGTGTCAAAAAAAAATCTTACTGACGGAGGGAGTATATAATTTTTTTTCTCCAATACGCCTGGAAGCGTATCATTGCATTAATAGGTAGGAGTACAAAATTAAAGACCCACCAGTCCATACACTAAGAGAGGCGTGCCGGGGGCACTCAAGAGCAGGGGAGTATATAATATAGCACACACGGTTAGGTTGTTAGGGTGTTATTGGAGTCCTGTTTAGATTAACTCAATCTCTCCTAAACTGTAGAGTCCCTCCCCCTCGCAAAAAAA